TTAGTAGTGGCCAAAATTCGATTCCATGTCTTATTGATGTAAAACTGGCGGATTATCCACTTTATTGGGGTCTCCCCCTCCCACCCACTTAGATTATGAACCAAATGGCTGAATGTTTCTAGGAGGGGTATCTGTATTTTGCTGATTACTATGGTAGATTGACTGAGTGTGTTATCAGTTAGGTGGATGCAAAGAGATAATATACACCACCCATAAGTCTATGGATGGATGTAGAAGGCTTTTTTTTTATCTTTCTTTTTCTCATGTGTGATTTATATCCTATTATTCCAATTTATCGTATAAGATTTCTCTCTAGCATCATGTTTTAGATGGATCTGTATTACTAAGATCTGTTTGTTTTTGAGTTTCGCGCTAGCCGTCCCTAATTTAGCAGTGTAAGACTAGAGGGAAGGCTGCTAGTCATCAACACCCACCACCAACTTTTGGGCTACTCTGTTACCAACGAATAGTGGGATTGACCGTCACATTATAATGCCCCCACGGCTGAAAGGGTGAACATGTTTGGTGTGTGACGGGGATTTGAACCCGCGACCCTCAGATTGCAAGTCGAGTGCCCTAACCACCTGGCCATGCCAGGCCCGTGTTCAAAAATATTAGTGATCAAAAGACTTTGTGAAGTGTCTACAAATGAGGCTAGATTAATAATTCGAGAATCAGTGTTTTGTTTTCAGAGAGCATTTAATACTGAAAGAGTACTGATTTGATACAGTGCCAGTCAGTTTTAGTCCAATGAAGTAGTTAATAATGCTGTGTTCCAACAATGGCTTTTATGTTATTTAGCTAAACAACAAAAGTATGACCTGATATTGTTGTTAGTCTATGTACTAGAAATGAACTTTGATGAAACATTTAGTGATCAAAGTCCACCCTGAAACATTTAGTGACCAGTGTCCACTCTGTAAAGTTTAATGATCAATGTCAACTCTGAAAAGTTTAATGACCAATGTCGTCTTTGAAACATTTAGTGACCAAAGTCCACCTTGAAACATTTAGTGGCCAATATCCATTCTGATACATTTAGTGACCAAAGTCAGTTGTGAAATATTTAATGACCAAAGTCCACTGTGAAACATTAAGTGGCCAGTATCCACTCTGAAACATTTAATTTCCAGTGTCCTCTCTAAAATGCTTTGCAACCAAAGTCCACCCTGAAACATTTAATGGCCAGTGTCCATTCTAACATTTAATTTCCAGTGTCCTCTCTGAAATGCTTAGCAATCAAAGTCCACCATCCAACATTTAGTGACCAGTGTCCATCCTGAATCATTTAGCAACCAAAGTCCACCATCCAACATTTAGTGACCGGTGTCCATCCTGAATCATTTAGCAACCAAAGTCCAATGTAAAATTGTGACCAATGCTGGATGCATACATTGCATAGAAACCCAAACATTTTTGCCAACAATGCACTGTGTTCAGTTTGCTTAAAAACAAACACAATGCAATTTTCCTTATTGAAATAACACAATGGAATGACAAAAGAAGGTTGTAAACGGTCCACTAGACAATCACATTGCATATACACTATGATCCAAGGCATTACATTGAATGCACATTTTTTTATCTATTCAACACTATTTTTAGGAAAAATTACCATTGAATTCTTTCAATGGGCATCTGCATGAGTTTTTACAAAACTTCAATCTTTCATTTTTTGAAGGCTATGGCAGCTAGTGTAAATAAATAATGTACTTGTTCATTTTCATGACTAATCAATCAGTAACTGAATGTATGGCATAACTAACACTAATACAGATAGTTCACTAAAAGGAAAAGACACTGGCTTTTATATATATTATATTAGTTGTGGTGTTTCCATTTGAGTGCCATTTGTAAAGTTATTTAGGCCTACAACTTACAAGTGACAACAGTGTACAAGTAAAGGCAGCTTGTAGAAGCATCAAGGAAGAAATAAACTAATTTATTATCGTTAAGTGGACTGGACTTGGCCTTATTTTGCCTAAAAATTTAAAAGAACCAGTCCAACAAAAGAACAACATTACAACAATACTCTCATTGTAAAAATGAAACATTACTGCAGCTAATATGAATTTAAACATTGTAATAAACACAATAATAGTATATTATCTAAATAAACTTGCTAGTTTTATGCTTATTCATTCCCTACTGGTTTTAAAAGTTCTTAAGATAAAGTTATAACTATCAAGTTTTATTTTACAAAATAAACTGATATTATTCTAATTTTTATGTCATTTGACTTTAAATCTATGCTACTTGAAGAATATAAAAAAATACTTTTTACTTTTACTTTTACAAAGTACTTGTTTCCCTAATAAATAAAATAAGTTATAATCATTCATTTCCCCCTGGTTGGTTACAAAGCATTTGAGTAATGCTATAGTTATAGGCACAACACTTTTCCAGTTAATCCAGACAATTCAATATTGTTTTACATGTTTATAAGCATCTTTATGGCAATATTAGGAACTTAAGTATTGTTGCTAAATGTTAAACAATGCAGAAGTATTATATGTGAGATACATTTTCATAATTCTAAATTATTGCGTTTGAAGTCTGGAGGAAACAGGGTTTTTCTCTGGCTCTTCATATTTCTTTCGACACCTGATAGAATACAGTATCTTGATTTGTTTGGTTATTGTTAAGCTCAAAGCTGCATAATGGGCTATCTGTGCTGTGCTCATCACATGTATGGAAACTTGTTTTTAAGAATTGTAAGCACACAGACTTGTTAGTGAGCCTCGGGGGGGGGGGGATTTTGAGACACAAATCTTAAAGTCAATTTTATATGTTAACTCTAACTGTATTTCAACAATTTTAACTGAAAAACATTTTAGAATCGATATTCGGTTATTTCCTTACACTGATTTAGTACACTTCATGAAGACGACAAAAAGTTCATATTTTTTATTTCTGCACAACCACAAAGAGTTTTGCCATTGAACAAAATAACCAATGGGTCAATTTTTTTGTTTTTTAAAGTTGTCTGTCTATCCCAGAGAATAACTATTTGTGCTAAGCAACTATCACCCCTTGAGAAAATATTATCTATTTCTTAGGTATACAGCATTTCCTTAGTTTTGTAAAGGCCTCGGTTGAAACCTTGGTATGGTGCCACATCAAAGGGTTTAATCATTTAATAATAAGACACAGCTTTGAAAACAGTTATAAAGAGAGTTTAAATATAACTGGATAGAGCAAGAATTATATTATCATGTAATAGTAATAATATATGTTTAAGGGTTATTGTTTGTTTTTAATAGTTTCTGCAAATGTTCCTTTCGTTTGTGAAGAGTAAAAGTATTTGTATGTTAAATTATATCTGTTTGAAAGCTACAAAATTGTCTTCAATGAGAAGACATCTGATGAATTCAGATACAATAGGCTTATATAGTTTAAATATGCTTTAAACTGGTGACAAAGCAAACTTTATTACAAATTTAATACAGTTAGTAAAAATATACAATGTTTAGTTTACTCAGACATGGATATATATATATATGTAAATTATGAAATAAACATTACATGACCAGATTGCTTAACGCTTAATAATAGTATTTTGTTGATGTTTCATTCTTTGTTTAAAATTATGATGTTTCAACTTTTTCATAGATATACTGTGGTTTTATTGAGTTGTAATGTTTGTAAGTCTGAATTGTTGTTGTTGTTTTTCTTTTAATGTTCACCAAATAAACTGTCATCAAATCAGTTTGTTTGGTTTGAATTTTGCGCAAAGCTGCACGAGGGCTATCTGCACTAGCCGTCCCTAATTTAGTAGTGTCGTTGGCAGATAGTTGTCACCCCCCCCACTAACTCTTGGGCTACTCTTTTACCAACGAATAGTGGGATTGACCATCACATTATAACACCCCCACAGCTGAAAGGGCGAGCATGTTTGGTGTGACTGGGTTTCGAACCCGCGACCCTCAGGTCATCAAATCAGATAAGTTTACTATTTAGTTAATATGGTAGGCAAAATATACTGATGACTCAAATCTTTATTGAATTGTATTTTATTATATTCAAAAAAATGTACTTAAATATATTATCTAACTGTAATCATGACATGTTTTAAATAAAAACGTTATTAGTCTTACTAATGATAGTAAAACATATTTTCATTGGTTAATTATCAGTTTATTTGACTAACAAATGGTAAATGTGGGATTACGGTGTATTTTAAAAACAAATATAACGACGAGTGTGGTAGTATTTAGTTAACATTACTGATTCATTTCCTACCTAAGAAATGTCCATATCATCTTTTAAAAAAATTTGTAACAAAATGTTTTTTGAGACAAAAAATGTTTATTCACAATTTGCACAAATAGTGGAACGTCTATCATGTGAAACCAAGGGTAATTCGACCATTACTTTAAAAAACCCAACGTAACATACATGAAATTAGGAAGATTACTACCATGTTATAGTGATACAATGGTGGAAAAAGTTACGAAGTTAGCGCGAACAAGTTTTCTTTTTTTAGCTTGTGCGTGGCATGTATTAATTGCTTAATCAAATGTAATTGATTAATAAGCCCGTCAATTAATTGATTATCAAATACCACTAATCACTCAGCTCTATTTGTTACCTGATGTGATAATATAATAAAAAAAGGTCAAATTATGATCATCCAAATCTAATCTTTGGTTTGCATAATTGTATAATTCACTCAGCACTAAGGTGAAATACTTTCAATTTCAATTTTTGCAAAACCAATAAGGGGAGGGGGAACATTTCTGTGGTAGCACTGTTGTGTGCTACAGCTTTTGTATTGACGCATTTTACGTAAAACTGATAGTTTTAGAGATATCATTTGATTGACCTTTACAACATGACACTTGGGGTAACAAATGGTTCCTTACGTGACTAAACACCCTATGTCAACGGATTTTTGGTATTCCACACCTACTTCACGGCTGTAGGAAAAAAATATGGAAAATTCAGACTTTTGACTCACCCTGTATTATACATACATACGCACACAACATAAAGGATACATTCCTGGCTGAAAAGAGCGCAGCACATAAAATGAAACCATGGTCACCAGTGTCAGGAACAGCACGTTGTTGTAAAATATTGAGAATGTTGTAGCTTCGTAATCAGCAACTTCATTTTTCTTCCACAGTATTCTATGAAAAACGTTTTAACCATAAATAATAACTGTTTGTTAACCTGCATACAAAAAAATGGATACAACCTAAACAGAGTTATTACAGTACCATGTTGTGTGGTAATATAACAGAGTTCTTACAGTACCATGTTGTGTGGTAATATAACAGAGTTCTTACAGCACCATGTTGTGTGGTAATATAACAGAGTTCTTACAGTACCATGTTGTGTGGTAATATAACAGAGTTCTTACAGTACCATGTTGTGTGGTAATATAACAGAGTTCTTACAGTACCATGTTGTGTGGTAATATAACAGAGTTCTTACAGTACCATGTTGTGTGGTAATATAACAGAGTTCTTACAGTACCATGTTGTGTGGTAATATAACA